GCTGTGACCAACTGCTTGTTAGTGACTTCACCTCCAGAGATGACAGTCTCCTTGCTTCGGCCTCTTCTGTACTTCCTTCAGTACCTTTACACACTGACCACCAAACCCACATCCCCATCTAACTTCTTACTTACCTTGTCTCACCAACAACCTTGTCCTTCAATTAGAGTCCTCTTCCTGCTGCTTCTTCTTCCATCTTCCACCTTCTTCTGTTCCCTCCTTGTCTCTTCCTTGGGTCCTTAGAGCTCTGTCTCTCCTCCTCCTTCACCTTCTCAAATCTTCCCATTTTTCCTCACCCCAAATTCAATCTCTCCTCTACAGTTCCAAAGTCCTTCAAATAACCTTCACAACTGCTGGTCTTCTTCATCCTTCTCCCAGGCCTGCCCCTTCTCCCACATGACACACTTTCAGAAAGTGGGAAACAGTGAAGTCGCCCTTCCAGGGGTCTTCTCGATCTTAAAAGTGAGTGGGGAAGGCTGCCTGCCCTTCATCCAAGGCAGTCTTCTAGCCCTCAGTAGTGCTGTGTTTCTGACTGTCATAAGACGTAGACAACCAGATGAGACACCCATAAAAAAGTCTCTCATTCTTAGTCTGTTCTGTCATTATCAGCAATGAACATTTCCTTTTCGTTCCTTGAATCCTCAAAATATTTCTAGCATTTATACAGCACTTTCACGTTTGCAAAGCACTTTACAAATATTTTATTTGAGCCTCACATCAACCCTTGGAGGCAAATGCTATTTTATCCCCATTTTACAGATGAGTAAACTGAGGCAGAGGTTAAGTGACCTGACCAGCATCACACAATTACTAAGTGTGATTTGAACCCAGGTCTTCCTGACTCCAGGCCCACTGCTCTACCCACTGCGCCACACAGCTGTCTTCCCTTTGGCTCAATACAGATCATTTGGGCTTTACATTTGTTATCATGCTTTTTTTTTTTAATTAGTCAACATGGTCATAAGAGCCCTGCTAAACTCAAGAGACAGGAAAGACCTGGGTTCAAAGCTTACCTGTAACCCACACTAATTGTACAACCATTGAGAAGTCGCTTAACAGTTTCCTCATCTGTAAAGTAAGGATAGACTACTTGGAGTGAGAAGTCAAATGACAGAGTATATCGACAGCTGGCCTAGCAAGCAGGAAGCCTGGGTTCAAATCCTGATTCTGACACCTACTGGCTGCATGATCCCGGGCAAATCTCACAATCACAAACTCTCAGTCAAAGTCAATAAGCATTTATTAAAAGCTAATTATGTGACAGGCACTGTGCAAAGCACTGGGGAATAAGAGGACAAAAAAAAATCTCTGCTCACAATCTAACAAGAGAGACAACAAGCAAACACGTACAAACAAGCTATATACAGGATAAATAGGAAATGAGAGGGAAAGCACTGGAATTAAGATGGCTTGGAAGAAGCTTTCTACAAAAGGTGGGATTTTAGTTGAGATTTAAAGGAAGCCGACAGGTAGCAATGAGAAGGGAGAGTATTCCACGTATGGGAACAGAAAAAGAAAACATCCGGGGCTGAGAGATGGAGGGTCTTTTTTTGTGAAATAGCAAGGACATCGGGGTCACTGGATCAGAGTATGCTGAAGGGAGTAGGTGTAACAAGACCCAGCGTTACTGAATCAAAGAACTGTGTCAGGGTGCAGACGAGATGGAGGGAGAAGATGGAGGCCTGGGTTATAAAGGGCTTGGAATGCCAAGCAGAGAATTTTGTGTTTGATCCTAGAGGTGATAGGGAGCCACTGGAGTTTAGTGAGTAGGGGAGTGACCTGACTGGACCTTCACTTCAGGAAAATCACTTTGTTAACTGGAGGATGGACTGGAATGGGCAGAAACTTGAAGCAGACAGACCCACCAGCAGGCTATTGAAATAATCCAGGCATGAGCTGCTGAAGGCCTACATTAGAGTGGTCAAAGTGTCAGAGGAGAAAAGGGGGCGTATTTGAGGGACACTGCAGAGGTGAGATCGACAAGCCTGGCAACAGATGAGACACAGTGAGGAGTCAAGGATATATGGTACCCTCAACCATAATATGGAAGTTTGGAAGTGAGGAAGGGCTTAGGTGGAAAGATAATGAGTTGCTTTGAACAAATTAAGTTTAAGATGTCTACTGCACATCTAGTCTGAGATGTCTGAACGGCAGCTGGAGATACAAGATAGGGAGTCAGCAGAGGTGGGGGCAGGAAAGGTGGATTAGAGAGTCAGTGTAGAGATGGTGATTAAATCCACAGAAGCTGCTGAGATCACCAAGTGAGGTAGAAGATGGCCCAGGTCAGAGTCCTGTGGGACATCCACAGTTAGTAGGCAGGATCTAGATGAGGATCCCACAAAGAGAAGAAACAGTCAGACAGGCAGGAGCAGAACCAGGAGAGTGATGTCCTTAAAACCTAGAAAGAAGAGTATCAAGAAGAGTAGGGTAATGCAACAGTGTCAAAAGTTGCAGAGATGTCAAAGAGAATGAGGACTGAGGAAAGGCCACCAGCTACAGCAATTCTAGGAGGCCAGTCTTGAAGGCCACTAAGATTCTACGTTGCAGAGAAGGTACCAACTCTACGTTAGTAGAGAATTCTTCAACAAAAGCACCCTATACCATTGACATGGGAGGTCCAGGCCCCGTCCATCTAGCTGTCACCTCGGAGTTGTTGTGAGGAGCTGTAAATCATTTCTGTGAACCTTGAAAGCACAGTTACTATTAGTGGATTATTATTATTAATGGGATGGGGAGATAAGCATCACTTTATTGTTGATAGATGGCTATACATTCCAGGCCCTTGCTGTGATTGATTTTGTGCTCCCACATGATGGCTCATAAGTGACACTAATGAACATGTTCAAGCATCTGCTTTTTTCTTAAAAACCATGCCTTCAACTCAAAGAGAGAAGATAGAGGGAAGGAGAACATGACATGTTTGGGATACAGTGAGTAAAAGTTTGATGTACGTAGAAGAGTGAAAAGGCCGGAAAAACAGTCAGGATTCAGATGGGCCTAAAGGAGTTTGGACTTATAGGTGTGTAGGTAGCGGATAATTATTGAATTTTTGAAGATTTCTCAGGGATAGAAGCTTTGGTAAGAAGATGAAAAAGTACTGCTGCCAAACAAGATGTAGCCAAAAGCTTGGGTACAGACGAGTCTATAGATACTAGCTGAGGAAACATGAAAATGATAAGGTTTGGGGTCAGTCAGCTTGTTCTCCTTGAGGAAAGGACTACGCTTTTATTCCTCATTGTGGGCCTCCCCCTCCTCCCATCAGCTTGTAAAATAAAATAAATTATACTTATATGACAGCTCCTAGAGTCAGCAACTAAGTTTCCCCTTTGCATCCAAAGCACTTAGCACAGTACCTGGCACACAGTAAGCTTCACTGATGGACAAGTGATTTAAACTTTGCAAAAGCATTCTACACTAATTTTTATTAGGTAGGTGACCTTGGACAAATGATTGAATCTCATTTTCCTCTTCCGTAAAACTCCAAACGAAGCCCATGTGACGACAATGTCTAACTCTAAAGATCGAAAGAAGACTGGGAAGTACAGTAGGTATACCCCTTTCACAAGTAGGGACCCTAAGCATCACCACCAGGATTGAGCCTAGATAGTTGACTCAAATTCCACCATCCCTCCACAATTACAAACGTTCAACAAATTAATCACTAACCAAATCGATGCCTGTCATCCCTCCACTCCTCACACAGATTTTCTTAGCTCCAATTGTGTATCCCTACACAGGTTTTCTATAAATAAGGCTTTCACTTCTTTGGTTGTCTCTGAAAGGTCGAAAGGCTTAGGAAGGTTAGGGTTACTTCGATGAATGGAGCTTCTGGAATCTCATTACATCTTCGGGACCGCAGTCCGGAAGACAGGGTCTGTCTTCACTACCCACTAATGGCTGACTGATATCATTTAATTATTTATTTAATTGCTTTTTAAATTTAAATTAATTTAGTCACTTGATTATTACTTATTTAATTATTCATTAGTTGCCGGGCATGGTGGAAGGGGCTGGGATTCCCAGCCCTGAAGGAGGTCCCGGTGCTAGGGGGCGGGGCAGATAAGTCTAGGCAGCTCTCCCCCTGCTAGGTCTGTTACTGCACAGCACTCCGGGGGGGGGGGGGGTCTGAATGTTAGGGGTTGGTGATTAGCCATTTGGAGGGAAAGGATCCGATGCTTCCAAAGCTGCATGGCTAACCGAGACCGCAGAATGAGTTCTAAATTTTTGGTTCTGAATTTTTTTTGGGGGGGAGGGTGATTTTCATTTTTAGAATCAAGTCAAACAAGAGTAGCTCTAAAAACTGTAACGGGTTGGCCATGGAAGGGCCCTTTGGGGATTCTCTAATTTAATCCGCCAGTTTTATTCATTAGGAAATGGCTTCAGAGGAGGGACGTGACTTTGCCTAGGGTCACGCCTGGGTAACAGCAGAGGAGAGATGAGCATCTAGATCTCCAAATTCCCGGCTCTTTCCTCGACAGGCCTAGAACGCCTCCTCAAACCCAGAGCAAGGCCCCAAAGCAAATCCCGGGGGGGTCTTGGGGGAGAGGCTCAGGTGCGGGCTCGCCCCCTCGGCAGGGGGTTTCGAGGGCGAAACCCGACTACCTGGAGTTCCTCTTTCCGGCGGGAGGCCTGAAGAAGTGAGACACCCCCAGGCCCACGGGCAGGTGCCCCCCTCGGCTCCCTCCTTGCCGCTCTCGGAAGCGTGGCAGACCAGGCCACGGCCCCGCCCCCCAGGAAGAAGGGAAGCTGTGACCGGGGCCCGAGGGGGGGAGGGCATCTCAAGCTCCTCCTTCCTTCAGGACCCCCGCCCTCGGCCCTCCTCTAAAAGAGCCTGAAGCGGGGCCCGGGAGCGCAGCCTCCCTTCTGTCCCCGAACCGCTCCGGCCTCCTCTCCTGCTGCCCGTCGCGCACGCGCACTGCTTCCTCTCCGCGCTCCCTTCCCCCCACCCCCAGCCTCCGCTTTAGAACCGTAAAGGTCGGTCGGTCGGCTACGTGTCTCACCGTCCTCGAGACCCGCCGCTGCCGCCAGCGCCATCTTCTCCCCGCAACCAGACGGCCCAAAAGCATGTGTCGGTAGGGGCGAACTAAGGTTCACTGGAGGTCCCGCCCCCTGCCTCGTGAGGCCACGCCTACCAGGGGGCCGGTGAGGAGGCACGTACGTGTCGTCGTCGGAGGCGGGGCTAAAGAGAAATCCCGGCATGCTCTGGGAAAGCCAGTAAGCCCACCATGATGGAGGCTGGTGCGGCGCCCGCCGTGTTGCGGGTGAGGCGGAAGCGCGGCGCGGATCCCGCCGAGGCGCTCGTCCTCGCATGTAAACGGCTGCGGAGCGGGGCCTCCGAGGAGGGGGCGGGGGCCGCGGGCCCGGGGCCCGTGGAGGAGAACGTCTTCAAGCTGGCGGCGACCGTGTGCTCCCAGGTAGCGGCTCCGGGCTGGGGAACGGCGAGCCGGGCAGGACAGGTCATTTCGGCCATCCCTCAGCCTCCGGCCGCCGAAGCTGGGGAGCAGGCAGCCGCCAAAGGCAGGAGGCCTGGGTTCAGTTCCGGCTACCGCCGTCTCTGGGATCTGAGCCTCAGTTGCTTCATCTGAAAAATGGGGGTAATCGTGCTTACAGAGCCTAGCCGTCTGGTTCTGGAAAAGCATTCCAGAAATAGAAGCAGGGATTTTTCGGTCCAGTCCCCTCATTTTACGCAGGAGGAAACTGAGGACCAGAGAAGAATAGGGATAATCAATACATAAGTAGGAAGCGGGTCTGACCCCCTTAACGAGCCCGGCCCGAGCCCATATTATACTTGGGGGGCCGCGGAGCCGAAGAGAAAGGGGCTACTTAATTACACAAAATGGAAATAATTTTGCATGAACAAAATCAGCACAGCCAGGATAAGAAGAGAAACTGTGGCTGGGACAGAAAATCTTGGCATTGAATATCTCAAATAAAGGCCTTATGTCTCAGTCATGGGAAATGTACCTAAAAAGACCAGAGTCATTCCTCCATAGATAAGTGGTCTTTAAAGGGTCTGAATAGTTCTCCAAAAGGCCCACTGCAGACTATTAACAGCTGTCTGAAAGGTTGCACAAATCACCGATAATAAGAGAAAAGCAAATTAAAATAACACCCAAAGATGACAAAAGTCAGAAGTAGTCAATGTTGGAGTGCCTATGGGAAGAAGGGAACTGATTGGGTGGACCTGTAAATTGGTCCAGCCACTGTTGTGAGCAATTAGGAATTGTATTTTTAAAATGACCCAAGTGTTCACACCCTTTGACCCAGATAAACATCCCAACACTTGGCATATACTCTAAGGAGGTTAACAGAAGTCACATATAAATTTGGAATTATACCCAAAGGGCTATATAACTGTGCATACCCTTTGATCCGGCAATACCACCACTAGGTCTGTCCCAAAGAGATCATTACAAAGGGAAAAGGACCCATATGTACAAAAATGTATCAGCTCTTTTGTGGTGGCAAAGAAATGGAAATTGAGGGGATGCCCATTAGTTGGGGAATGGCTGAACAAGTGGTGGTATATGAATGTAATGGAATACTATTGTGTTATAATGTGAAATGGTGAGCAGGCAGATCTCAGAAAAACCTGGAAAGATCTGCATGAACTGATGCTGAGTGAAGTTAGCAGAACCAGGAAACATTGTACACAGTAACAGCAACAATGTGCATTGATTGACTATGACAGACTTAGCTCTTCTCAGCAATACAGTGATCCAAGACAATTCCAAAAAGACTCAGAATGGAAAATCTATCCATATCCAGAGAAAGAACTATGGAGTCTGTATACAGATCAAAGCGTACTATTTTCTCTTTTTTTGTTGTTTTTTGTTTTTCCCTTTCATTCTGATTCTTCTTTCACAACACGATTAATGTGGAAATATGTTTAATATGATCGTACATGTATAACCTATATGAGATTGCATGGCCTCTTGAAGAGGGGATAGTGGAGGAAAGGGTGAAAATTTAGAACTCAAAATCTTATAAAAGCAAATGCTGAAAACCAAAAAAAAAATTTTTAAATAATAATTTATGTGTAACAGCATCATGGACATAAAAAGAAAAGTCATGTATAACAAAATACTTGTAATAGTATTTTGGGGGGGCAGTAAATATGGTTTGGAAAATCATTCAATTAACAATCATTAGTTATTAAGCATCTAACATGTGTCAGGCACTGCCTGGAAAACTGGAAACAAAGTTGGTACCTATCAAGAAAATGGATAAATCATAGTTTATCAACATAATGGAATGTTATTGTACCATAAGACAAACATTAGGGATTCAGGAAAACATAGGAAGACTAGATGCAGAGTGAAGTAAGCAGAAATAGGAAAGCTGTAAACTGAACTGAACACAGTATGATTATAATAGTTAATCTTGATGTCCAAAAAGGAAAGAAATAGATCTCTTCCCTTTCAGTGGAATAGGGAGGGACCGTGAGGGTGGAATGTGTTACAGTACTGTCAGACTCACATGATAGGTCAGCAGATTGCGCTTAACTGTTTTTTGTTAAAAAGGAAGGCTAGGCTCACTGTATGAGGAAGGCCTTGTCCTGAAACAACTATGACAAACATAAAAACAGCAATAACGCTTTAAAGAAAGAAGGAACATGGCTTTGGAGTCTGAAAACCGGAGTTCAAGTGCAACCGTCCCTTAAGCCTACTGAGCATCAGTTTTTTGACCTGCCTCTCTTCAGTGCTCACAAGCCTCCCCTGTGTCGTCTGTACAGTGAGAACGTTGAACTAGAAGATGTCAAGGGTCCTTCCAGCTCCATAATTCTTTATATCCTGGTTGCTTCTGTCTCATTTTCTTTCTTCTCTTCCCTCATAGGATGAACCTGTTCAGAAGTATGTCAGAGAAGCCATCACCAGAGAGAAAGCCACCAGAGCCCTGACTCCTTCGCTGGAAAGTCGTCAGAGAATCCGTCATGATCTCCTTGCTGCAAAGCTGGTGACTCGGCAGGATGACCGCTACCGCCTGGTCTCCAAACACCGGGCGCCCTGTGTGGAGGGAGAAGCAGCCCTGCAAGCTGTGAAAGCTGCCAGCAGGGCTAAGAGGGATGACCTGGGCTCCGATGGTACCAAACAAATGTCACACAGAGGAGGCAGTTCATCCTCCGCGAAAGAATTCCAGCTGTTTGACATCATTCACGAGGACGCCACTGAGAAAGAGACTGTCTCAGTCCCGGTCACCTGTTCTGAGGTAAAGTGCTCCAAGACAGCACTGTTTTGTTGTTTATTCACTTCTAACTCTTCATGAGCCCACTTTGGGATTTTGTTGGCAGAGATACTGGAGTGCGTTGCCCTTGATTTCTCTAGCCCATTTTACAGATGAGGAAACTGAGGCAAACAGAGTGAAGTGGCTTGCCCAAAGTCTCCCAGGTAGTAAGTGTCTGAGGCTGGATTTGAACTTAGGTCTTCCCGGCTCCAGACCCTGCACAGTGGTGCTCTGTGCACTATGACGCCTCCTAGTTCTCATTTTGTAAGGAGTGTTTTAAAGCTTACGGGGACTTTCCTCCCCCCAGCCTGGTGGAGTGGGCAGTGCAAGGACAGTGATCCCGTCTTCATAGATGAGGTGACAGAGATCCAGAGACAAGAAATGAATTGCCATGGTCACACGGGCTACGTTAGAGCTGGGGTAATGGAGGGGATAGGATGGAGAGCTTCCAGTGTGTGTCAGAACTCACATTGACTTGAGGACTGATGCTGCGTTAAGAACTCAGGCAGAAGCCCGGGGCATGGAGAAGTTACTCCACTTCTAAACCTCAGTTGTTTCACACTCCGTACCCAATGGCAGGTACTCTTCCAGCTACTGTACCTTGGACCGTTACAGTAATAATACACTAACCCTAAATACACTTAAATAGCATTTTATGTTTTGCAAAGTACTTTCCTCATAACCACCTTGAGAATTAGATAGTATGAGTACTGAAATGCCATTTTACAACTGGGGAAACAGAGGCCGAAAGGTTCTAGCTCCAAAATTCTTATCCTGTGAAGAAATTAGACTTTGTTCTTATTCATGTTGGTCTCATTTTTTCTGTCCTTCTTCCTCATCCTGTATTCTTGCTGTTTGATTATGATTCAAGAGATGATGTTGTTGTTGATGTTGAGTTGTGCCTGACTCTTCGTGACCCCATTTGGGGTTTTCTTGGCAAAGATATTGGAGTAATTTGCCATTTCCTTCTTCAGTGGATTAAGGTAAAACAAAGGGTCATACAGCTAGTGAGTATTTGAGGCAGGATTTGAACTCAGGTCTTCTTGACTCCAGGCCCAACATTCTATCCACTGAGCTACCTAGCTGCCTTCAAGGCAAACAGGTTAAGTGAGTTGCCTGAGGGTCCTACCACTACTGAGTGTTTGAGGCAGGACTTGAATTCCGTGAAATGTTAGATGACATCTGGGCCTCGCATTCCTGCTGCTCAGGGGCTGCCGGGGGTCAGGCCCATTTCAGGGACCAGAGTGGCTTTTCATTGTCACCCCTGCCCTCCTGCCCCAAGGGCACAGAAGCAGCAGAGGACCTAGGGCCAAGGTTGAAGAAAGTTTTTTTTTCATTCCCCATCTCCAAGAGGGAAACACTACTCTTGGGTGTTGGCAAGGTTGGCTCTCACTGATATAGCCCTCCTCAGTTGTGGCTACCGGGAAGGGGGGGGGGGTTGTTGTCTTTTTTTTCCCCAGTATGAGCAAAATTCCAAAGAAAAGGCTACTTTTGTAGTTCTGTCATTGCATTTTGACTTTCTGTATTGGGCTGTGGCCACTTCCAGGAGTGCACTCTGATAAACCCAGTACATGAGGGCAGTAGTCATCATTGTGAACCTTAACATAGAAAATCAGGGCAGTGACAAAGCCCAATTCAGCAAAGGACTTTTCTAACTTGGTTTGAAAATTCAGGGTACTCCCTTCATTGTGAAATGAGTAGTCATCACTAGCCAAGCTTGGCTCCAAAGAAGAGATAGAACACACCTCAGAATCAGAGACAGAAGTGGAGGAACCATGAATGTGGCATGCTGCATATTATATATTAGCACTTTCTGATAAGTGTTAGTTTTACAGAACTTTTTCTTTTTTGAAAAATAGCTTGTTATTTTTCTTTTGTTTTTTTAGACAATTGGGATTAAGTGACTTGCCCAGGGTCACACAGCTAGTAAGTGTCAAGTGTTTAGTCTGAGACCAGATTTGAACTCAGGTCTTCCTGACTTCAGGGTCGGTGCTCTATCCAACTGCACCACCTGCCGCTTTGTTATTTTTCAATAACAAATTTTTTATTACTGTTCTCTGCCAACCCCCCCCAATTAAGCAAAATTTTCTTTATTGAAAACCCAAAAAAATCCCTCAATACATAGCCACATAGCTGATAAAATTAATTCCTACATTGGTTGTATCTAAAAATGTGTCTTTTTACTTTAAGCTCATCATCTTTGCAGGAAGGGAGTGGCATGTTTCATTTTCATTCTTTTGTACTTCATGGTTTATCATTTCATTAATCAGAGTTCTAAAGTCTTTCTCTGTCATGTTATCAGTGTATAAAATTGTTCTCCTAATTCTGCTCACTTTGCTCTCTATCAGTTCATAAAGGCTTTCTTCCCTTTAAAAAAAATTCATTGTTATAAGGGATGATCTCTTGGAGGGGCTGGAGAAAGAGATACAGCAAGGAGATGTAGGTAATGATATGAGGTAGCAATAAAACTTTATTCTAAAAATAGAAACATGTAGTTTGCTGTGGAAATTAGAACCATGGGAAAGATAATGGAACAAAAAATTACAATTCCCTTTGTATTTCTGGGATGAAATGGTAAATTCTAGATGGTCATCCACTTTGGTTTATTGAGATTCTTGGCAAATTACATATGTTACCTATAGTCATTCCTTTGTATTTTTCTAACAGAAATCTGATCCAGATGTGATACTCTGTAATTCAGTAAAGATGATCCGTGAGCAGCTAGCCATCTCCAAGGACGGAAAAGGAACGGAGCACCGAGAAAAGGAGGACGATTATGTATATGACATTTACTACATGGAGACGTCTACCCCAGGATGGATTGAAAGCATCCTCTCTGTGCAGCCCTACAGTCAGGATTGGGAGCTGGTAAGGCAGGCCTCAGGGGTGCAGGCTTAGGTAGACCCTGAGAGCAGGGGTCACACTCAGAATCACAGGGGAGAGTTGAAGGGCATCTCAGCATCCACCTGGACCGGCCCATCTGCTGTAACAGCTGCAGACCTGCACAGATGAAATGACTCTTGGGACAGCTCAAATGGCTGGGCCACTCACCCTCAATTTACCAAACAAAATCTAGTTCTTCCTCCTATAACCACCCTCCTCCAAAATGCTTAAAGGCATCATGTTCCTGCTGAATCTTTTTTTTTGGGGGGGGTGGTTTAATGTGCCTAGTCCCTTCACCCAATCTTCATAGAAAAGGAACCTGTGGAGGTGGATTGTTCTCTAGTCAGTGTCCCTATTGAGGCAGCTAGGTGGTTCAGTGAGTGGAGCCCTCGGCCTGGAGTCAGAAAGAGTTTCAATGAAGACTCAGACACTTGGAGCTGTGTGACTCCAGGCAAATCAAAATGTTACCTCTTTCTGATAGAGTACCAGCCCTGGAGTCAGGGGGACCCGAGTTCAAATGCGGCCTCGGACACATGACACTCACTAGCTGTGTGACTGTGGGCAAGTCACTTAACCCCCAACTGCCTCACCAAAAAAAAAAAAGTTACCTCCTCCTGCCTCAGTTCCATCATCCACAAAATGGGGACAGTAACAGCCCCCAGCTTCTAGATTTGTTGTAAGGATCAAAGGAGATCATATTTGCAAAGTGCTTTGCAAACCTTAAAACACTATCTAATTACTAGCTATTAGTATACTCAGTTCCTCCAGTAATGATTTACAGAATCATAAAAAAAGTTTATTTTTACTCATCTTCCCCTAGGTTTATAACAGAATCTTTATTTTGGATCATCTGAAAAGACTTGGGAAGAAGCACTTTTGCAGTTCAAAACCCAAGTCTTTTTTGTCTTTCTTGCACTTAGGACAATAGAAACAAGTATCATAAGATTTAGTCCTAGAGGTGACCCTAGATAACATCTAGTCCAGGGATTCTTAAGTGGGATTGTTGAATTTTTGTGTTTCTATTTTTAAATATTTTGACAACAGTCTTTCAGTATAATTGAATTCCATTGTAATCCTATGGATTTAAGAACACTATTCTGAGAAAAGGTCCACAGACTTTAGGAGCTTGCCAGATGGGTCCATGACATGAAAAACCCCTGGTCTGGTCCAACATTCTCATCTCACAGATTAGGGGAAGTGTCTTGTCTGAGGACACAGAGCTAATAAGTAGGAAGGAGCAGGATTAAAATCCAAGTCCTCTGACACCCCATCTCCGTGCATGTGCGCCCCCCCCCCCAGCAGCACTGGTTCTGCTATGCCTGTGTTTGGATTATGTCGCCTGCTTTTCCAAAACAGATGGTAGTTTGTGATTTGTTGGGACTCTGACTGTGATTACTGTTTGTACTGAGATGAACAGGTAGCTGATGATCATCAAGCAGAGGAGATTGATGATGATGATGATGATGATGAGAACAGTGAGAATCACTGGCGTAACGAGTACCCTGATGAGGAAGAAGGAAGCAGTGACAGAGAGAGCACTAGAGGTAATCATAGTGAGAGTTCACATTTAATGTTAACACTTTGATTCATTCAATCAGCTAGCATGTATTAATTGCTAAGCACTAGGGATAGAGATAGTAGGGCTAGATAGTAGTGGTTAAAATACTGCTGACTGTGTGACCTCAGACAAATCAATAAATATTTTAAATACCTACTATGTGCCACTGTGGCAAGTGCTGGGGATACAAAATGGGGGGGGGGTGGATACAGAGTCAGAAATCCCAAGGTAATGAAGCCAAGGTGAGAAATGAAGAGATATCTGAGCTGAGTTCTCTCTTAAATGGAGGCTGAGGGCTGAGAGGCATCTAGGTGGCACAGTAGATAGAGCATCAACCCTGAAGTCAGGAGTTCAAATCTAGCCTCAGGCACTTGATACTTACTAGTTGTGTGACCCTAGACAAGTCACTTAACCCCACTGCCTAGCAAAAATGTTTTTAAAAAAAAAAGCCTCCAAGTTCATGGCCCCAATCAGAGAGGCAGAGGGTGCTAATGAGGTGGGATATGGGGGCTGATGGGATTTTACAACATGATGAGGTTTTTGAATTGTATTAAATTATAAGGCGTTGAACTTTGTAGAGAAAAGTCCTGGTTTCTATTCCTGCAATCAGAAGGAAGAAATTTGTATAGCGTAGAACTCTCACAGCCTGGTCCTCTACAGATACCTTCAAAAAAAGATGTCACAAGTGTCTGGTTCACCTGTTCTCATTCTTTTTCTAGGGTCTGATGAAGAATATGACAGCTTTAGTGATGAGGAAAGTAGCGTCATCACGCCGAGGAAATGGAACAAATATCCCTATGACGTGCTAAAGGAGTTTGAGTATGACAGCTCCCAGGATTTCGATTCAGACTGAGGAGTACTCAAGCATTCAGCAGCTGTCTGGCACAAGCCTTTTGGTGGCTCTGACCACAGACGTCATCCTCTTTGCTGCTGACCCTGCCCCAGAGTATTATAACTTACCTTGGAAAGGGAAAAAAAATGAGCCTCTAAGGGATGTTCACCTCTTGGGTCAAATTCTGGCCTCCAAACAATTTTGTGCTACTGGGGAAGGAAAAACCTAAGATAAATCAGAGTTCCTTTGCCTCTAACCGCAGTATTGCCCATCGGTATGGGAAGAAAAACCTCTTTCACCTGACACTGCCGGAAAATATTTTCCTTTCCCTATACTTTACTTTAGCCTCTTGTTTAATCTGGAAGGTTTTCCCCTTCCATGTGAAGAATTGACTTTGCATGTTCAAATCTACAGCATTCCTAAGATTGAGTCTTGGCAAACAAAAGTTAACTTTTGAAGCCAATGGATAAAGAGATGTCGTTAATGTGCTTCATGTGAAAAGGTTGGTCTTCCCCAACCTCTGCCCTGCCGCAGAAGACAGGCCCTGCTCCTTGCTTAGTGAGGCATTTCTTTGGAAGCCTCTAGAGTTAGAGGCGAAAACACTATGAAAGGCTGCACTGAGTACACTTCATCAACACAGGAAGACAATGCATGTATATTCACTAAGGTGGTTTCTGGTTGTAAAAACCTGCAAGTGTTAAAAGTGAAAAGAATCCATGTTCGTATTTTCCCCCATTTCCCATCTGTGGCCTTACTTTGATCCTGCTTATAGAGTTGGGAGTCCTTTGACAGAAATGCCAAGGGAGCTGTGTGTGTGTGTATGTATGTATATATGTGAATTTGATGCACTGATTGTATTAAAATTTATTTTGGAACATGGAAGAAAATGCTTTCTCAGATGTTTCTTAGACTCTTCAATGTGGATCATGCCACAACCTCTCCTTCCCTAACATTGGCAATATTAACTTTATTTACTTTGGAGTAGAACAGCAATGACCAAGTCTATGGTCTTGGTTTTGCTTTCCCTTGAGAAAGGCTGCTGGGGAGCTCTCACCAAAGAGAAAATCCCAACAAACAGTGGTTTTATAACCAGAAGTTGTGTAACTACAAGTGTATATTACAAGTGAACTTATCAGACCCCCACTTTAAAACCACAGCTGCCTTTATTCCAGTTTGGGTCAAAGCACCATCAAATGTAAGAAACGGAAGGAGCCATAGAGACATGTCTGGTCCAAATTCACTCTGCAGAGAAAACAATTCCAGCAAGCAGACATGACATTCAGACTGCACAGGCTAATGGCAGAGCCTGGACTCAAATCCAGGTTCTGACTTCAATCCATCGCTCCCCAGACAAAAGGTACAAATTGCCTGGCTAAGAAATGCTCATCAGGATAGAAACCTCATACATCTAGACAATCAGGCCAACTAAAGAACTGGACTTGGACAGAAGTTTTCTTCCTGATGTCTTTTTTCTTGGTCTCAGAGGCAGCCCTTGCTCTGCCCAAATTTTTTTCATTAATTTGCTACAAGATGGTAAGACTTTTTGAATAGTCCAGGAAATGGGTGATGAGGGCTCAGTGTAGGGCGGCAGCCACAGGAGGAGTGGGAGAATGATGCACCAAGTACTGTAGAAGTAGAAACAAGAGGATGTAGCAACTGACTAGATGAAGGGAAGCAAGGAGCCGAGAATGACTCAGACATCAAAAATGGGTAGCAGGATGGCAGTGTCAGGAAAAGCGATGGTTGCAGGGGTGCGGGGCGGGAGGCAGATTAGAAGTTCAATTACTTTTGGGGTGGGGGGGGGAACCTACCAGGGGAGATTTCTAAGCTCCACTCACAGGGAGGAAGTGGAGCTGATAGAAACATGCTATAGGTGTAGATTTGGAAATGATCTTCAAGTAGAGCTATGATGACTTAAGTTACAATTTTAGGGGACACCCACCCTTAGGATGTGGGAGAACAGTTAAAAGAGCAAATGGGTCACGGATTGGTCAGATAAAAACCAAGGGAGCAGAGAATATCCAGATGTGAGTAAGCCACATTACATGATGGAGAAAGATGATTAATAGGGGCAGCTAGGTGGTGCAGTGGATAGAGTACTGGCCCTGGATTCAGGAGGACCTGAGTTCAAATCCGGTCTCAGACACACAACACTTAACTAGCTGTGTGACCCTGGGCAAGTCACTTAACCCCATTGCCTAGCCAAAAAAAAAAAAGAGAGAGAGAGAGAAAGGTGATTACTTTGATTACTTTAGAGGCCAACAGTGACCCAAGCAATATCTATATTATATTGGGGACCTCAGTCACTATACGGTGTTGCAGAGTGAAATGGGTGGTACAGAATCACAGGCACCAAGGAAAGGTACTCTTTCTTGAAGACTGGCAGTTACCAAAAGGACAAAGGAAAACAGCAAGGTAGAAAGGACTCTTTCCAAACAAGTTAAAGGCAGAATCTAAAACCTGTTTTATAATTATAATCTGTTGTCAGACAACACATGTTGAGTACTTAATGCTAGAGTCAGCCCCCTTCTTAGAACCGTAGCTTAGTCTCCCTTCACTTGGTATAGAAACTAACAGGATTAGACAAAGCACTCAATGGGTTAGTCCCATGGACATGGCATGCTGTGCTTTATGCATTCATTAGATTTTTTTCCCGTCTTTTAAAGGATTTCCTTCACAACTTCATAAAAGTTCCTACTCAAGTAGGGATTAAAACCACAAGTAAATCATTTCAGATACTAGTATGTACCTCCCGGGAGTCTATTCCCCCAGAGTTCAAAAGAGAGGCCAATTTACAGGATATTAACTTCCCGTCCTCTAGTAGCAGATAACCTTTCCCACAGTAACAGCACATCAGAAGTGAAAGGCCTGCTCGTGGTGGAGAATGCTATCCACATCCAAAGAAAGAACTATGGAAGTTGAATCGCTATCATTTTTGTCCTCTTCTGTTGAGTTCTGGTTCCTCTTTCTAATGATTCCTTCTATTGGTTTTCATTTTTACTTAACAAACTTCACTAATGTGAAAAATGTTTACTAGGAATGTAAATGTATAGCCTATAGGAGATTGTGTGCTGTCTTGGGCAGAGGGGTGGGGAGGAAGGAGGAGAAAATTTTTAAACTCAAAAGCACATGGAAGTGATTGTTGATAAATCAAAATAAATTAATAAAATTTAAAAAAAAAAAAGACGTGAAAGGCCTGGGCCAGGGGTAACTAGGATAGGTACCCCACTAGGATTACCAATAGAATATGCATGCCCTGTTGACAAGATCTATTGCTACGTAAATACAGAGGAGCCACCAGCTCTGGAGTATGGTCACCTTAAGAACCAGATGTCATAAAATGATATCATTCACATAGCATGCAGTGGCTAAACTGTCCCAGACAAGCAATAGGAAAAAAATGTTTATCTTCATCAAAATGTCTCAAATAACAATGTTGTGTTTAATGAAACTTGTAAATTAATCACCGATGTACTACCTCCTAAAACTGCTGGAAGGCAATTGTCATCCCAGAAGAATATCCCATGTGCAGAGTAATACAGGGTCAGGGGCTTTCAAATCCCACCAGACAAGAGCTCAATGAGATTTAAGGAATTACCTCACATGAAAGAAAGTGCAAGGCACCAGACTGGCACAGATTTGAACTAATTTGTGCATTAAAGTGGCAAGTCTCCCACGAGGTCAGGCAAGAAGTGAGAAGGAAACGATTGCAAAAGAATTCAATTTTGGAAAAAAAAGTTTAACCTTGAGCCACTAAAAACAGTCATGTCCTAGAGACCTTCCACTAGTCCCAAAGCTTATAACTGCTTGCAGAGGCACCGAAAGGCAAAGAACTATAGCTACTACCCTCCCTTAGGGTCCCCTGTACCACAACCCATGCATGCCCCAGTTAGAGTTGATGCTTTCAGTAGACTTAAGAGTCTACAAATATACATATAAGCTTCCTGGGTTTGAATCCTACCTCTGACATATACCACCTGTGTGACCCTGGTGAAGTCATTTAATGTCAAACTCAGTTTCCTCATCTGTAAAATGAGGATAATACCAGTACTAGCTCAGAAAGTTGTTGTAAAGCTCAAAGGAGAATAAAAATTAATGCACAACATAAATGCCAAGTAATTTGTATTGGTGCAACATGGCATAGAGAGAGAGCTGGCCTGGAAACTATAAGGCCTGGATTCAAGACCCACCTCTGACACATACCAGCTGTGTAATCCTAGGTAAGCTGTAAGTCACACGGAAGGTACCTACCTCAATTGACAGGGGGAGTTTTCTATACCAATGAAATCTCAGGTCCTGTCCCTAGCCCACACATCTCACTCGAAACATCTGACTGTGAGGGGTCAGTATGGAGGCCACATTCTGCTAACACTATATTCAAAACGAATCCTTAGTTCAAGAAACCTCCTACCACGAGGTCTAAGTTTGAGATTAAGTGGTGGCAGTGGCCGTGCTGATCGGCCTCCAGTGCCATCGAGGCAGGAAGAGACACAACCCTGGGATGATGTTTGCTTTTTCCTCTGAATGGTATCCCTACTGGAACCAAGAATGAGATGAAAGTTAAGCTGCTGTTTTAGGTTAATGTGAAGTTCCCAAGAGTGTTATTTGGCAAAGACTGTTTATGCAAATTATTCCCACCCAAATCACCATTGCCAATGAAAGTGAAGTGTGGACAGAAACAGACTGAATCCATTCTCATCTTCATTCTTTATTGATTCTGAGGCCAAAGGAGAAGGACCGATATAAAATGGTGAGGTATTATTATCCCTGATCACCTCTGGCCCTGGGATGAGCACTGCCTGGCCTGCAGGGCAGAACACTCTGTCCAGCATTAGACAGTACTATAATTAAATGCAACCAAGTTGCACACAAAGGAACACACACCAGGCAACGACATACCACCATCATCCACGTCTCTAGTCTTTGGGACCAATATGTGCACTAGGACCAACTTTTCTCCCTTTGTCACCTGCACCTCATTACTGTCTGCTTCAAAAGCTTGGATGACAGGCTCCAAGAAA